CCTATCATCCTCCTCTAGCCTTCCTGCGAGGTTTATTTATTAATGAATTAATTTTTTTTTTAAAAATATATATTAAATCTACAAAGTGATGGTGACAAATGGCTACGAAGAAAACGACATCTTCTTGATGCGTTTAAGGTCCCACGTCACATGGGTAGGTGGACCCCCTAAATTTTCTCATTAGTTTTCGTATAAAGAAAGAAGCTACAGTGTGGGCCCATTTTTAGCAATTTGTCAGTACATCAGAAAAAGGAAATGAATATTTATATTTTTCTATAATACTTATTTTTTTGTTGCAAATTATATTATTTTATATTTTAAAACAGAATATCACAAAATTTGGATTATCTCTCTCCTTTTTAAAACAGTAGCACAACTTAAAAGTTTACTAGTTTAGTTTTAAAAACGTTATATGTAGTCTCTCTTTTTAATTACGTGTCGCTTATAATTTACTTTTTTCGAGCGTTTTAAGTTTTGAATGCAGATTTTGGCATAAATTAACTTTAATTTAAGTGTCGAATATATCAGACATCTGCTGATTTCTGATTTCTATATAAAAAATAATAGTATACTCTTTCCGCTTTTTTATAAAATATTTTAGAAATATTTTTTTAAATTAGATAATCTTTTCAGAAATCGATACAAAAAATAATAGTTTTAATTATTTAAATTTTATATATTATTTTTTATTGATTAAATTGTTTGATGTTTTATTTTGGAAAAAGAAAAAAATTATATAACTTTTTAATCTATGTGCAAAACCTTAAACATCATATATATAAAAAAATAAAAAATATTTATAAGCAGATAAAAAATAACAACAATAAATGAATTTCTTTAATTCACAAAAACATATTAATTTTGTGTCACCATTCATTGAGTTAGAGGCGCTTGAATTGGACAGTTAGTTGCCGAATATTTCCAATTCATTTTATTAATGACCACACGAGTGAAGTCAACTAAGTACTTCAAATACTTTTAGTCGCTACATATTAATCAAAATATTGGATAAGTTATTTCAAATATATGAATCCATCATTAAATACTTTATTTCGGGAGGGTTATATAGTAGCAATCGTAGGTTACAACTGTGTCCATATTTATTCCAAAACGACCTAAGTGTTTCAAGTTTCATCCACAATATATTTACATATTTTAAAAATATGAAAAAATCAAATTTATCAAGATTTCTCTTGCCACCATATTAAACTTATTTGAATGAGTTCCAAATATTAACTTGTGCATATTTTTATATTTGAATTTGGAATATATGATAAGAGTGATGATACTAATACAAACCATTACAAATACAAATATATCTATCTTTGAATTTACTCTTAAAAGTACGTACAGAAATAATCAAAGCATTAAAAAATTGGAAGATAAGAAGTAATATACAGAAACTGTGTATTGTTAAGATCTGATTGCCTCAATTTCAGATGCTATTCATGACGTGAGTAAAGCTTCTGAGTTTGTCAGAAGGTTTCATCATCTTTCAATTTAATATATTTATTCGATAGATTCACTAAAAATGATGCCTCATGCTTCCACTTCACGTACGCGCACAATCACGACTGACGACCTTTTTCTTAAAAGCAGCTTCATGATTTATCCTTCACATGAAGATTTATATATTTTTATTCCCTGATTTTTTATCCATTGATGAAATTCATTACTCTTAAAAACGTACCACCATTTTTCTTGGAGTTTTTTCTTTTGTTGCTAAATTTTTTTAATTGCTTTCTTTTACCAAATTAAAGGTTTATCTCGTAGAGCTTCTTCTACCTTGTCGTAAAACTCTGAAATTTAAGGTTTGCATCTCAAAGTTTTTGGGGATTTTGTTTGTTGTTTGTATTTTCTTCGTTAACGTCATGCATACTATGATAACAAGATTGAAACTTCGAATTAATTTGCTACTCTCTTAATTTTCTGTAACGTTGCTGAGTTCAAACAAAAATAATAGTTTACAACTAATGTTTCATATTCTTTCACAATAATAAATACAGAATGTTTTATTATTAAAATCATTTCGAAACTTCTATATATATATTTTAATATTATCGCATTCCAAAATTTGCAGTAAAATAGAAAACTTATAAAATGGATTCAATACTTCCAAAACATTTATAAATTGGTTTTTATATAACGCTTCTTTGAATTTACAAAAACTTTCGATTGTGATTTTCAAGTCCAAGGTTTAAAAAACTTGAGTTTTCGTATTACATTGGTTTTTAATAGTCTTTCTGATAAGATGCAATTAATAGTTGATCTAGTCTTTAATATATAATGGATAGTTGTTGTCTTTCATTATTTATTTTTTTGACTTTGTCATATTTTGTCTAAAAATGGAAAAATTTACTTTTGATGCTTTCTAAAAATCAAGATCAAATAGAAGAGATATGTCGTGGTCGTGGGATTACGAAAGGAAAGATGTCTTTGATGTCCAATCACGTGTTCCCTTTCTCTTCTTCCTTCTTTTGTCTTATTACTTTCATCTCCCATGTTTTCTAAAACCCCTAAATTCTACCCCTACTTTAACAATTTTCGCTTTTTAGCCGCAAAACCTAGAGCTATATCATAATCCAACATTGTATATAGTCATTCTATTAGGACCATCGTTTGCGAAAACGAAACTGTACATCGCTTGTATTAGTATGCGTGAACGAGTTAGGATCAGGCACCAATGCTTTCTATTTTGTTACAAGCAAAGATTAGGTCGATAACTGAATTGTACTTTTATCATCTAATTGTCAAGAAATATGGATCTAATAAAATAAGATTGGAATAAAATGAGGAATGTTCGTGGTTACATATTATGGAACGTATAAAATATTCAAATCACATCAGTCTTTAATATATAAATAGTGAAATACCTAACTCAATATTATAATGCTGAGTTATCTTATACAAAATATCTAAACAATCTTTTTTTTGGTCAACATCATAAATACCTAAAACAATTCACATATATTTATATAATCAATTTTAAAATTTTTGTATACCTAAACATTCAATCCAAAGTAAATATTTCAAATATATGCTGTAAATATAAAATTTTGGGGTGACAAATCTAACCAAACTATTTTAGGGATATTAAAACTTTTATCGAATATGCAAATGCTCAACTATCATAATTTTCAAACCCACACATATAAGTAATGAAACGTAGCAACCAAACTAAATATTAGTTATTTGGTTTGTAAGCGGTTAGTTTCAAATCTTGGAGGAATACAAGAGAAAAAAAAATATGGAATTTTTATGGAAAACTCATAAAATATCAACTATTTCAATTAATTTATTCGAAAGAAATTTCTACAATTTTAATGGAAAACTCATAATCTAACATATATTAAACAGGAAACATTAGTGGCTTATGTGTGACTATCTCTGAATTTTGAATTTTTTAAATCTTAATAATAGTTAAGAACTTAAATAATTTATTCTTGTAACCAAATAAAATATTCTCTAATTATTTATTTTTAATTGTATTTAATTTTCTAAAAATCTGTAACTAATATATAGGTTTTTATATATAATTTAAATAATTAGATTTAAAAAATATGACAGAAATTTTAAGTGAATATTTATTTTTTTTTAAAAAATATCTAACATATATTAAACAGGAAAGAAGCATTAACTTAGGTGTGATTATCTCATTTTTCTAATATTTTTTTATTAATTTATTTTTAGTTGAAACTATAGAATAAAGAGCTATTTTACTGACGAATATTTTTTTGATGAAACTTTTTATTAATAATTTAGTTGAAAAGTTCAAAATGAATTGATCGATAATTGGAAGAACTTCTTTACTAAATGCTCTTATCTAAATTATTTTTTTCATTACTAATGTTATTGATCGATGAGTTTAAAATGGATAGACGGATACTTACATAAAAATTGATTAGACTACATTAATCGTAGCTTCACGTAGTCGTTGCCAAGATAATCAGTATCAAATTTGTTCATCTTCTACCTGGTTTAATTCTAGTATTTAAGTATTGTGAGTGATCGTAAATGCCAATCCGATTAATTAAATTTTGATTTTTCGACATCTAGATACTTCAAAAATTGAGAATAGTTGCTCCCTATTAAATTATAGTCTAAAATCGATTCTCTCTTCCTCTATTTACTAGTAGTATATATATAGCCCCTACACTCTACTCCCTCACGTAGACTCTACTTTCGTATATAGGGTTTGTTTGTGAAGAGGAAACGATGCTACGACGTAATTTTTCATTAACGTAATAATCTCAAGAAATTAGCCATCCATGGTAACCTAGGACTCGATTTGTATTCTCTCGTGATCAAGACCACTAACCGACTTTGTAATTAGGAATCAAAACAAACACTAAGCCAAAAATTGACCTGAAGTTTAAAAATTTGAATATTACAATGTAAATGTCGAAATATAATACCGAACACGTAAGAAACTGTCTATACGCAGTGATAGTAAGGTGTGATCAGCGATATGTTTCAGTTAATGCATTTAGTTATCTACTTAATTAGCAGATTCTCCTGTGTTTCTTAATTATTATCTTATCATGATGAATTAAAAGGTGGACGTGGTCCATAGCTTTGCCTGTTTACCTCTAAACATATTTAGTTTTTATTTAATTGTAATAATACACCGTTGGTTACACAAACCGAGACAACTCGAATTCGAATCAAATCAAATCTCAACAGCATAACTAATTCTTAATATATAGTACTTAAATGATAATCATACAATTTTGAGGAACTTGATTAAGCTCGACATTATATAAGAATGGATATCAAATGAAAACATTGTGTTTTTTTTTTTTTCGATCATGTAATAATGTATATCCTTATGTTTCGAACCGGACCTGACCGGTTTTTACAACAACCAACATTGCAATGGTTTTAGCAATACACAATAGCGTTACAAAAGGTTGACTATAAACAAAGATTTTTTTGTATTTAGCATTATTTTTAAGTAATCGTTCAGATTAAAACCCGAAAGAGAGGAAAGAATCACACTAAACAAATCGAAAACAAACTACAAAAACGAAATCAACACTTCTAATTTTGGGGTTCATGATTTTTTGTTTTTTTGTTTTAGGTACAAAATTGTAAAATTTAGATTTTAAGAGATGTATTTTTTAATTAAAAGGTTCTTCCACGTTGAATTTTCCCTCTTTGCATTTTACCCCTTTCTCAATTCTCATGATCCTTAATTACAAGAAGTGCACGAAACGCCAGAGAAAGCATAATTACAAAATTCACCCTAGTTAATTATTTCCCGCTCAGATTTAACCCTCCTTATTTTCTGATTCACCCTTCAAGTTTTACCGTTATTCCCATTTTGCCTTCCACTGTTTCCTTCTTTTCCGTCGGTTCCACAGAGAGAAAAACAGAGCTTTTAATCCAAATCCAAAATCTCTTCCGGTGTTTACAGCTTCAAGTCCAGTGATCAACGGTGGAGTACCAGTGTAGAGACGGTGGCTGTTCGTCGGAAAAGAAACCGCAAGCTTCTTCTCCACTCAGAAAGTCGTCGTGATCCTCCGTCTGCTCCATTTTCACAAACTGGAAGAAATTACCGCCGGGAACCGTCACCGGAGCCACCGTAGCGTTAGAGCTACTTTCCTCGTTTAAAACAGCGCTCGAATCGCTGCTGTCCGAAGATCCAGCGGCGGCGAACGATGAAGCGGCAGCCTTATACGGAAGAAGATCTCGGAGATCGGTGAAACTCCGGTAATTGAAACTATCCGAATGTTCTAGAAGCTGCGGAGGAGATGACGGCGGTTCTGTAATCTTCTCCGGCAACGAAACTTCTTCCTCCTTGACGGAAATATCACTCTCCATCGTCGCCGCGTTGTTCTCTTCCTCCTCTTCTTCTCCTTCTCCTCCGTTAAGCTTAGATTTCAGTTTACTAATCTGCATCATAACAAAAGTCACAATTTTTAGTTTGGATAAACAAAAAGTTTTCATCTTTTAACAAGAAAAATTGAAATCTTGATCAATACTCGAGACTATTTAAAGCGATTTACGCAATGGGAAGAAAAAGTTTCAATTTTTAATTTGGGACCAAACAAAAAAAGTCTCAATCTTTTAGCAAAAGGTTTGAATTTTGTTTGTACCTCTTGGAGGAGGGATTCATTGTCACGGCGGAGCGAATCGAAGTTGTGGCGGAGAGAATCGTACTGGGTTTTAAGAACACCGTAGTCTTTCTCGAGCTGCTTTGTCTTCCACCGCGCACGGCGGTTCTGAAACCAAACAGCTACTTGACGAGGTTGAAGACCAAGTTCTTGAGCTAACTTGACTTTCCTCTCAGGCTCAAGCTTGTTCTCCAACTCGAAATTCTTCTCCAAGGCTTTAACTTGGTTAATGCTTAACCGTCTCTTCTTCTCAGATAAACCGGTTTGTCCTCTTTCCTCAATTATCGCTTCTTCTTCCTCCTCGTAACCTTCAAGCATCGACTGGAATTCTCTCCCGTATCTCCTCGGACTCTGCTCATCTGTTTACAAATTAAAGCCAAATTAACAAAAATTTAGAAAACGAAGATGAAATTTAGGGGCTTGTTTGAAAATTTAGAGATCTTGTATACCTGTAGAAGTAGTGGGACATAAAGAGATGAGACCACCCACTGAATCTGAGCTGCTTAATCTCTTCATCATCAAACAACACTAAAAAAAGAGACTCTTTCGAAAATCTTTAGTTACTTCAGAAAATTACGATTTTTTTTTTGAATTCTCAATTTAATGCATCTAGTAGTTGGATGATCTTTGGTTCTCTTATGAACGAACCAATCAACGAAAGAGCAGATTTTGAAGGAAGGAAATGCACAGAAATTTAAGACAATGGGGAGATTCTATTTACAGAGAGAGGAGAGAAGAGAGAGATTGGGTTTCTTCGTTTTCCATATGAACAAGCTTGGTTTCACACTTTCTCTCACTTTAAATAAACTCAGCTTGGGTTAGAATTTAACCATGGTTAAGTAGATATTGTTGGGTGTTTTTTTGGTAAATGGAAATGTTAAACCAAAAAATTGAATGTCCTCGATTGCAATTTGAGGGGTCCACCGGCTATACCCAGTTACCTCCAGGCTTCTTCCGGTATCACTGGAACTCGAGTGAGGCTTATAAAAATTGTAATTAAAAAAAAAAAAATGATGGCTCGGCTTACTTTAATCGACTCAGCTCAAGCTATATACGTTTAAAGAAATTTTCGTATCTCGCTAAAAATGTTTTTTTTTTTTGGGATGATCAAAATGTCTTTTTATTTATAAATAAAATGTTTTACTGTGTGTAATTCTATGAAGAAATTGTTTCAGTATTCACCATGTAATAAGCCTATTATTATGACTAGATTTCTTAATTTCTTTTTTTGTTGATTGCTAAAATCGAGAATGCTATACATATATGTATTTTACACAATCTGTTTTGTCTTATTCGCATGGTAATCTAATCATCCTCTTTTTAAAGCTGTAATTATTGGATTATATGTTTTTTAATTCTCTAATCTAATTAGAAAATTATTATATTAAGTTATGGAATGATGACTTTCGTGGCAATGCAAAAGGAGACAAGAGCTGTTGGGCCTCGGTGACAGCAACCACAGTGAGTTTTTTTCTTTGTTTGCTTTTTTTGTTGTTGTTTGATTCTTTCACCTTTCAAATGCATAACCGGTACAAGCAATTTGGTAGTACAAAATGATGTTATAATTTAATTAGTGATGCATAATTTCAATATGGAGTTTCAGTTCGTAATATTAAAATGGAGTTTCAGTTAATATTATAATTCCATGTAATTTACAGTCAAATTATGTAATTAAAATCAACATTTATTTGATAAATTTGCTATATAAATTTCAATTAACATTTTTTGATTTTGTATTATTGTTACAGAGCCAAATTTATTAATTTATTACAAATCTGAATTTTATAAATATAGTAAGTTCATATCCACTCTGCTTTTCCTCAATTAATATTTTTCCAATTTTAAAATAAAGTGTTAACAAAATTTTATATTGACCAAAAAAATATAAAGTTACTATTTTTAGTATTATAATTTTTTACACATATCAAATTTTTATTTTATAAAGTTTATGTCTTATAAATAATATCATGAGTTTTTTTTCTAACTAATAAATTAAATATCTATTAACCAAACTAATTTTTTTTTGAAAATGCACTAAAAAAAGAAAATGATATTCCACATTAACAAAAATAATATTTATAACGATAATTTTTATGAAATGAATGTTGTATATGAGCAATGTATCAATTTATTCATAAGCTAAATAACTAATTGAAAGATAATTGAAATAATTAAGAAAACAAATAATAACAACAAAAGTAACTAAATAAATTTTATTTCGATGTAAGTTATATCAATTACAACACTCCATATTCTTAAAAGACACCACGAAAAATGAAGAGTAAGGTTAAGATTTTGGTGAATTAAATCATTATCCAATCAAAATCGTTTGTGCAATGAAAAACTTAACCAAGACGAACGGAGCCATGTCAACTTATGTTCACCGACAACTGAATGATATCAAGGGGATATTGGTGTTCCCACCTAATACGACATCGTATTAATTCGTAAAACGACGCCGTCGCCGAGAAGAGAGAGTCCTCGTGCTTATCCATAAAAAGCAAAAGAAAAAAATATCTTCTAAAACTGACACGTCAGCAGATAGATAAAGAGCGAGAGAGAGAAAAAATCACCGGCAAACAAACACAGTGAGATTCTACGGCGGTGGTTCGTCGAAGCTCGTCGTCTCTCTTCCGATCTACATGAAAATGGCGTCGCTTAATCTGCGTTGCGACTCGACGCACCTTCTTCCTTGGCGGTAATCAATTGAATTATCTACTTCAAAGTTCAAACTTTCGATACTTGCTTGTGTGTGTGTGTATGTCGCAATTCGAATTGATAGTTACGATCGTATCAGATTACTATTCGGAATTTGAAATTACATTTCCCTGTTCATGGTGGTGGCGAATTTTAGGGGAATTCGCGATAAGCTGAATCGCTATTTCTTTGAGGTTATGGCCTTTAGATTTCGATGTGTTTAGGTGTGTGTGCGTTTGTTTATATAGCCGTGGCTCTTGTGTTCTGATAATGTTGTCGTCTCCATGATTTTGCAGTGATGTTAAGAGAACAAAACCATTAAGAAAGACTTGGATGTGTCCGAGGCTCACATCAAACAGGTTGAATGTTAGAATGAGAGTGATGTCCGAGGAAGGAGAGTTCTTCTTTTCCTCTAAGAGTAATGGATCAATGGGGGTCGAGTTACAGCCCGATTTGGTTTCGTTTGGTACATTAGCAGCAGAGATGATTCCCACAACAATGGTTTCATCTGAGGTTGAGGATGAAGAGTTTGATCTTGATCGACCTACTGATGGATTTGCCTCTATCCCTCAAGCCATTGAGGATATTCGACAAGGAAAGGTTTGTAATAGTAGGAAGAGTGTTGGCTTTCTGTTCTAGAAAGTGAAGGCTTTGTGTTTTTTTTTCCGCAGTTGGTGATTGTTGTAGATGATGAAGATAGAGAAAACGAAGGAGATTTGATAATGGCGGCGTCGTTGGTAACACCTGAAGCTATGGCTTTTGTGGTGAAGCATGGGACTGGAATCGTGTGTGTGAGCATGAAAGGCGAAGACTTGGAGAGGTTAGAGCTTCCTCTAATGGTGACACGAAAGGAGAACGAGGAAAAACTCTGCACGGCCTTCACAGTTTCTGTGGTAAGTTAAAGTAACGTTTTTTCTTCTTCTTCTCTTTAGTGCTGTGTGATAGGAAAAAGAATGTTGAAAAAATCCTTGTCAGGACGCGAAAAGAGGAACATCGACAGGTGTCTCAGCTCGTGATAGGGCACAAACGATACTATCCCTTGCATCAAAAGATTCAAAGCCTCAAGATTTCAATCGTCCTGGTCATATCTTTCCTTTGAGATACAGAGAAGGCGGCGTACTCAAAAGAGCAGGGCACACAGAAGCCAGCGTGGACCTGACTGTGTTGGCCGGTTTAGAGCCAGCATCGGTTTTATGTGAGATTGTTGATGACGATGGCTCCATGGCTAGATTACCAAGACTCCACCAATTTGCTCAAGAGAACAGCTTGAACATCATTTCAATCGCTGATCTGATCAGGTACCAGCATATAAGTTTTCACCCAATTCAACTCTCTCATTTACTGAAACTTTCAGGTTTTTGAGCTTGATTTCGACTGCGAAACTTTGTCTGGTCGTAGATACCGGAGGAAAAGAGAGAGACTGGTCGAGTTTACTGCGGTTGCGCCTATACCGACGATGTGGGGACCGTTCAAAGCGTATTGCTTCAAGTCATTGCTTGATGGAGTTGAGCACATTGCAATGGTCAAAGTAAGAATTAAACTCTTCTTTTGTTTCCTTGAAGCTTTCTTTATACCCAAATTTTGATTATTAAAAAAACGCAGGGAGAAGTCGGAGATGGGAAGGATGTTCTGGTGAGAGTACACGCAGAGTGCATCACAGATGATATATTCGGAAATGGGTTTGGTGGGAAGCAGTTAGCGATTGCTATGAGACAGATTGAAGAAGCAGGGAGAGGTGTTTTTGTCTACTTACGTGGTCCTGAAGCTAGAGGCATTGACCTAACACACAAGCCTCGTACTTACGACAGCTCTTCAGATGAAACCGAGGGTGTTTCGTTCCCCGTTGCTTCAAGAGAATACGGCATTGGAGCACAAGTAAACCTTTTTACTGTTTTTGGATAAAAAAATGCAAAAGATTATTTAAATCTAAGATTTGAAATGTTGGGTGATGCAGATTCTGAGGGATCTTGGTGTTAGAACGATGAAGGTGATGACGAACAATCCAGCAAATTACGTTGGTCTTAAAGGCTATGGTTTATCAATCTCTGGTAAAGTTCCACTCATTACTCCTAACTCCTAAGTGTGTGTTTGCGCGCGGGAAAATTATAGCCGTTATTTAATTCGGTTGAGATACATAACACGTGTCAGCTTCTATGAGTGATTTAGTTTGTTCTTAGTGATGGTTTTGGCGCCTAAACTAATGTGTGATCCGATTGTCTTATGACTTTTATAGAGCTATCACCAAAATAATTTTAAATGTTATATTTTTCTGCGAAATTGATATTTTGTTGCAATTTTACATATATGTTTTGAGTTCTCTTTAATATTAGAACTTTGGCTTTATAATTAAAAAAAGTCAGTCATGATAAAAGAAACTGCATGGCATAATAATATATTTTGAAACTATTATATTTGTCTTTATTCTACTTAAATACACTCTGAACATTTGTATATTTGCCCGTTTATTCTCAATTTTTTTGAGGTAATTAAGACCGTTATCTATGTAAAAAAGAAATGATCTTCCAACAAGATAAAACAATGAAAATTCGAACTGGTATGTAGATTACATACAAAGCCAAAGCTAAAGCCAAAAGCTTTAATCACGGCTCAAAAACAAGTTCTTTTTTCTCGACCAAAGTAAAAAAAAAAGAGAAACAAACTTGAAAACAGAACAGTTATGTACGATCACCTCTCCGGTGACTGAATCAGACCGGTGATGGAACGAAGAAGATACTGAGTTCTTGTCCAATATTCCCGGCTGGATCAATCAAATGGAAAGATTCAGATTCTTTCGAACCACAAACTCTTCTGAAACTAGCTCTCAAATACATCAATTCGTCATCGAACCGGCCAAGTTCTTTCCCAGTCACAACTCCGGCTCCGACCACCACCGTGCTAAGGGCGGTCAACGCCGACACGTCATCCTTCGACGGCCGGCGTTTCCTCGCATACCCAACTCTTTTTCCGTTACAATACATATTCCAAAACGGCGTCTTCAAAACAGTGTCTTCTTCTTGGTTGTTCCTTTCCAAGACTATACGCAACGCTCCTCCTCTCATTTCCCGAGCTAAGACCGTTGTTGGAACGGCTAGCTCGAGAAGAAGCTCGGGGTTTGTCGATTTTCTTGGTGTCTGGATACAGAAATTGATTTTTCCTTTACGGTATCCAAAGATTGTTCCAGTGACTGTTGATGAAGAAAGGGAGGAAGAGGAACGGAAAGAGGAAGTGCGTGATTTGATGTCGTCGTAGAGTTTCTTGCCGCTCAAGGTAGGTTTTTCTTGTTCGAGTTCTTGGACTAACGTGGAGTTGCAAGTTGGGATGAGAAGCTTAATGACCGAGCGGAGGAGACGCCATGATTGGACTTGTTTCTGGCAGTCTACGGTGGCTACCACCGTCGATTGAAACTCCATTGAAGCCATGACTTTGGTCTTTGACATTGATAATGCTTCTTAAAAAGCATAAAAAAAAAAAAACAAGAAACAAAAAAAAAATGGAAAAAGAGAAATATAAGAAGAAGTAGAAGAAGCTTGAGGGTTTGGTGCTGAAGTGTTATAGGGTTTAAATAGGGAGACAGGAGATGGTTTACGTACGAGTACTATAAAAAAAACAATTCTGTATTGTATTATTTAATTGTTTAAAATTCGATTATGGTTTTATTTTTCTTGAAAAAGTATATTTATGTTTGGGTTATGAGAGGCAATTTTTGAGCTTCGATTTGTAAAGTGTGATTCGTGTTGGGTTTTTGTCATGAACCTAAAAGATTCTTTCGGAATAGGTGGAACTACTATTTAGAATACGTACTATTTTGTATATTTATTATTGTAAAAGAAGTAGAAAACTTAGATGTTAAATGATTAGGGTTTTGACCTTGAATAATTGATTGACATCTTTTTGCATGAATTGTTTTCATCTGTATGTTCACTTTTAGGAGGAATTTTATTGAGGCCAAAATCACTTATACAAAAATTAATAATGAGGTAATCTAAAATCCAGTATGGTGAATTAAAATCCAAATTGAATATATATGAAAAATACAGGACACAATATAGTAATGAGTGATAACATTGTTATTAACATGATGCACACGCGTATACTTAATGGGGATAACCAATTATACGATTCACATGACTTTAAAAATAAAAACCAATAACGAACAAAACAACCATTAATGTTGCTAACATGATGCACACGTATAATCACTTTAAAGTGAAATTGCGATAAGAAAATGTATACACACACACGTATGAATGTAAGAATATATTATTGTTTTGAGAAAATGTATATTTCGACCACATGTATGAGACTACGGGTGACGTTGGAATACAATTTTAATATTAGCATATATTTCATCAAAAAAAAAAAAATTAAAAGTAAAAAGAGAAAAGATAACAAATTGAGTAATCCAAAAAAATACAGATTGGATGAAATTATTCTCTGATAATAATACAACATTTCCGCCTTTTGCCTTTTCACCTGCTATATATATTTTAAAGAAAATAAAAAAATTTAACATACAATAATAAAAAGAATGAATAAATATATCCGTACGACAGGAAGAGTTATATAATAGCAGAATTAATTATTAGACCATTAGATCTCTACCACTTTCATTAGACTCCAAACATTTATATACTACTTATCGGAAGATCAATCAGTAAGCACTTTCAGGAAAACTCTGATTAAAAATACCTTCCATTCTTTTAATTACGAGTTTCCTCGTTACAAGCTCGTACGTGGGTTTTATTTCACTAGTCTTTCTCATCAAATGTTCAAAGATTGTAATTATAACTCAAAAAGAATTGATATCATCTCATGTATATCAAATTTAATGGCTCAAAGAGAAAATGTAACTTCTTGATCGTTTCTAGTCTGTAGATTTTCACGTCTTATACTCTTATAATAGTCCGTGTGTCCACCACATTTGTATGATAGCTTGCAAAAAAAGAGAGAGACAATTGTCGACTAATCCTTAGAATCATCACAGTTGCTTTTCTTCTATGCCATGTTCTTTGGAGATATTAGTAATCATTTTAGTAATTTAAGTTTACTACATATACAGTACATCACTATTTTACAATCATCGTATTGTATTCTTCAAAGGTAATGTATTTTTCCAATTCTTCTTCTGTATTTTTTATATGATGTATTCAGAAATTTCACATATTATAACAAGTACATATTAATGCATTTGAAAATATCATCAATCTCTATGAAACAAAAGATAAGGTCTATAACAACAATATACTACTATGTGCGAGTAAAAAGAATATTCTATATTGATATTGATTAAATTAAGATATCTTGGCTTTTCAAAATCAATTACTCAACAAGGGTCATCAATTATGAAATTTGTTGATTCTAAAACAAAAAGAAGAGAGAAGAAACAAAACAAAGAATGAGCTATGAGCCTAGATTTTTCTTTTGGCCCTCTAGGTTCTCTTTTTAAGTTATAAAATTTATAGTAAGTTAACAAAAACAAAAGAATAAAAGCAAATAATGAACTTTTTATATGAATTTTACAACAACAACAACCGAAAAAGTGCATTTGGGTCCAAAATCTAACAAAAGGGAAAACTAGTTTATTGTGGTGTCTAGCCTGGTTTCTCCACTCATGTCTTTTTGGCAGTTTTCTTTCACTTTTAAATTTGTTCGACTTGCATATAGGTGCTCCATGTTATGCTTATACAAAACTTTTTAATTATATATATGCCACCTTAGATTCGTGTAATATAAGTTTTCTATATATTGGTAGAATTTTAGAAATATCTTCACAATTTACAACAAGAAAAGTAGAAAACTATGGTTTATATAAAAACACTAGGAATGCGAAGAATTTATAAACTCCAAATTCCACTTGTCTTCATACTTTTGAAACCACAAAAACATTCTGTTCTTTTTCTAAACTATTTTTTTTTTATCGAAGTTGAGATTAATCTATGGAACTTGTGGAAGAGTTGAGTATCTTTGCCATTTAAAATATATAGTGTTATCAATTATGACTGCTCAATTAATGCTTTATTTAAAATTTCATCTGGAGTAATACTTTAACAAAATGTTACTTTATATAACCCTGTTAATCAACACCATAGTTTACCACCGATCAATCTATAAGAAACTTAAAATTTTGGAATTAATATACTAATTTTTTGTCCTGATGGTGAAGTGTTGTCCTGATGGTCATAATAGGGGTAACATTTTTCGTCCTCTTTTGGTTTGTATCAGACACCAAACCTAACTACATAAAGACACTAATTGTAAAATGTTAAACGAAGAAGATATGTAAATTTTAGACAGGAACCTCTGGTCATCGTATTGACTAGAGTCGTGTTGACAGATAGGTGTAATAATTTTTAAGTAAAGGAGCTTTACTGAGCATTCCAGTCTTTTACTTGCTCACCCACCGTTAGAAATATTATTCTCCTCCGAAAGTTATATTGACTCTATATTGATTAACCAGAAAACTCAAGCATCAATCTGGAGCAGATCGGTGTCTTTTTAATGACAGAAAATAACAAAAATACATAGAGAGAATCTTAATTAGTTGGAGAAACGTTGGATATATATTCGCTTTTTTGGTTTTATTAGTTTTTTATGTTTGTATATAATTCCTAAGAGAGATTGAGAGATGGGAGAGAAGGAAAATGTGACATCCCATTATCTGAACTTTTGGTCGGTAATTCTGTTGGCAAACTTAGCTGTTGTTCCTTACCTTTTTTCTCATCAATCATCAAAGGCTTTTGTTATATTCCTTTTTTTTTATATTTAAGGAAACCTTTATTAGTGAACCAAGACTTTCTTGCTATCGTAAATTATTAAGTCATATCTTAAGCAGTAAAATCTCGATACAACATTTACGATATCATTGGTTGAAGTTCAAGGATTTTCGTGACCGATACAAGTTTGCATATAAAAGTAGAATATTTACTTAGCACAACATGTCAAGTCGATATTAGGTTTTAAGAGTAGGCATAGGTATAAATTAAGGGAGTGTTAGTGAGAGTAGGATTTATATAAAGTTGTGATGATTTTAAAAGCTCAAATATTTGTTAATTTTGTAAAGAGTTTGTTAGATTTAAAGAGAGTTATGAATATTTAGAAAATCTATCAAAATCTTTTATTATAATAATTTTTAGAATCTAAGGTATATAGATAGTATTTTGAAAGTTTTGTTTAATGAGTTAAATTGTTAACAATTTTTGATCTAATAACAAAATTTTTATTAGATTGATAGAATCATTAAAAACTAAACTTTTTGAATAACAATGGATTTTGTATGAAATTTGAAATTTTTTATATCAATAACAATGAATTTTAGTAAAAATGTTAAAATCCATCTACCGATAATAATAGAATCTTAAAATTTTAACAATCATTACAAATCTCTCTACCAATAATTTCTCCTAAATACATATTAACCTTACAAGTCGATATTCATAACGTGTCACTCCACTTCACCTCACCTGGTGACTTCTTTTAAAATTTTAAAATTTTAACAATCATTACAAATTTCTCTACCAATAACTTCCCCTAGATACATATTAACCTTACAAGTCGATATTCATAACATGTCACTCCACTTCACCTCACCTGGTGTCTTCCCTTTTTTTTCTTTAATACTTCAAAAACTTTCTGTCGTGGCTAGAGTATTTGATATACATTAGCCAATCAATCAAAATTTGTCTTTCTTCTTCTCCAACTCTTCATTCCTTCTTCAAACTGCTCCAAGCTTCAGTCACAAATCGGATCATATAAACCAACAAAGCCTACTCTATAATAATGGGCTATTACTAATGGGCTTCCGTGGGCTGACGAAGAGAAGTTTTCGATTTCGATTACGGTGGTGTCTACGGTCTACTGTATGACTATACAACGGGAACATGTACAATTTGTAGTGATTTGTATTATTAAAATTATATATTATCTGTTATTTAATTATTGATTTGAAAATATATTTTAAATCTACTGTTATTAATAATATTTAAATAGTTGATTTTAAGAAATTTGGAATGATTTTAAAATGTTTTGATATAGTTTAATGGCTAAAACATATAAAAAATCTAAATCTCATAATTTTACATAATTTTATAGAATTTTAATAATAAATCCTAACAAATCATTTTAATAACAACTTCCATCATTCAACCAAAATTATCTAAAAACTTATTAAAATTAAATACTTACAAATCATTTAGAATGTTAAGTTGAATACACCTCCCAACATGTTTTCAAATGCTTCATATGAGTTGATATTCGTTTTTAATCCTATGAAAACTAAATTTTAAAAATGATTTATAAATAAATTTGGCTTTGGTTTTTTATTGAACTATTTTGGTTTGTTTCAGTTCAGTTTCTCAGTTGTGGTTTATATTATTTGCCACACCTCTATTATCAAATATCCATCCTCGCTCTTATAATCAATCTTGTTCTTGAAAGCATAAATCGAAAGTAATTTTAAAGAATTATTTTAATTTATAAAATACGATAGATAATTACACAATAATATCTCGTCTCTATGTTTTACCCAAACAAAACAAAAAATCGTCTCTATGTTCATCCCATCACAACAAGAAAGAATTACACAAATAATATATAAAAAAAATAACAAATAAGAACGAAAAGAAGATGTAATTAATAAAACAGTAGTCGAAAGCAGAGGACCAAAGCATCCGCCGTACTCAAAAGCTCTCTAAGCCAAAACGACAGCGTATATTGCTCCGGCAACAGCTGTTCCCACAAGGAAAGCTTTGTTAGCCCACGCGGCGTTAGCGGGCGCATCAGCGGCAGCGCCTGGTCCCGAAGCCGGAGCCGGAGCCGATGTCGGAGTTAATCCGGTGGAGGGACCAGGAGCTGGAGCATCGGTTTGAGGAGTTGAAGCAACCGGAGATGTTGTTGGAGAAGTTGTTGGAGCGGTGGTTGGAGCCGAAGTTGGTTCGTTAACTGGAACCGGCGGTGAAGCAACCGGAGAAGGTGTTTCTGCTGTCACGGGAGGAAGCGACGTTGGTGGAGAAACGGTGGTTGGTGCCGGTGCCGGAGCTTGAGAGAGACATGAAGTGGCCAAGAAACCGAGAAAGATCACAACTTGCAATGCCTTAGGACTCATATTGATTCTCTGTTTCTTTGTCTGAAATTTGAAACTCTGTTTAATGTTTAAACTCTTGTTTCTTTGTTGTGGTGTGGAAATAATGAGAGAAGAGAGAGGTTCTATATATACGCGATGGTTGTGATTAATTAATTAATAATTGTTGTGAGTCTTGTGACACTAATCATGCAATCCACATACATTAACACAACATGGCTTAGCTTGACAATGGCGGTTTTGAAAAAAAAAATATTACCGCGTTTTTTTTTCTTTAATTATTATTTAGAATGTTTTTCATTTTTGACTTGGCGTGTTTGGGTTTATGAAGTTTCCTTGAAGAATCATCTACATGGAGGAGGAGCACCAAACGGATGCACAGAGCTCTGCCACGTGTTTTTCTTTGTCGAGATTAGTCTTAAAGATCCACTAATATTGGTTACGTGCTGTGTTTACATTGGTTAAGCCTCGTTGTTGACTGTGTGTAATTTTGCTTTTTTGCTTAACCGCGTTAAGATTTTTACTAACGTTTTCATGACATTACGTGTAACGAGTAAATTTTAATAATGAAATCTAACGATTTTTGCTTTGATCCAGATTCATTGTATCGTATTGTCTCGTCGATTTAAAATCTAATTTTTGTTTATAACGCTTGACTACTTTTTAATGTAAACTAACTAACTAAAGTCGTTTATGTTGAAAAAAGTTATCTCATAGATTGATAGATATTCGTTGTAATGTGTTATCAGAATAGTCCAGATATGCAGAAGCTGTCATATTTAAATTAATAAACTACTGATAATATACTTTTAACTTTTTATTAAATAATTTATTATTTTCTTCCCAATATTTCTAATGACAGTTTAATTGGTTCCCATTATTGTTACAACCTTACAACTAAAAACAGTTGACCAACACGCATTCACATATTCTAATGTACAATTACGGTTTGAAATCTTTTCTGACTTTTTAATAAGAACCTACCTAACACTTATTTTCCTTGAATTACAGAATTTTTAGAACTTATATGCAATTGTATCTTCATAAGAAAATTTATATTAAATCTTTTTTTTTCCTTGACAACCTTGACCTTTTTTGATAATTTTTAATTGACCAAAATTTTATTTAATTAAGTTGATTTATGGAACTAGTTTGGACTTTGGACTTTGGACAAGGCCTTGGTTGACCTTTCTTCCTAGCTTTCCGTGGACGTGGGCCTATGCTTAGAACTTTTTTTTATTTTGTCAAGCCCACAAATAGCTTTGTTTTTTTTCTTTTTTGCTTGCATACAAATTGTTTAAGATTTTAGAGAGGAACCAAAAAAAACTTATTGCATACAAATTGTTTAAGATTTTAGAGAGGAACAAATTGTTAAAGCTTCGGTCAGATAAGATAACTAGCGATTATATATGAACTTAAAAATTGCTTATCTTCTTCAACGTTTTAATGTTCCATTCATAGTTTTTAAACAAGTTTAAAGTTGGTTGCTGCATTAAGAATTTTGTATTTTCATTCAATTTTGTTTAGAATTCGGATTATCCAGTACCCAACTTGATTAAAAAATTCAAAAATGTTCATCTTCTCTAAATCTAGTACAGTTTCATTTCATAAAAGTTTTTTAATAGTCATAGATTTTTTTGTTGGAAAATTGCTTATTTTCATCATAAGTTCATAAACAACCCCCAAAAATTGCATACCTTTTATATGTAGTAAAACAATAAACGTGTATCATCATCATAATTATGATCATATTCATATGTAAAATGTAGAGAAAGAAAATGACAATACACCGCCGGTTAAAGCCGGTCAGAAATCTCTCATTGCCGCTCAAAAATGGCAGTCACTTCTTACGGTTCGTCACCTATCTTCCCGGTAATCCCGTCCCACTATTTCACATTTCCAAAGCTCCCAAATAAAAATATAATTTTATTTATTTATTTTCACTGAAAACAAAAAAAAGAGGCCAACGATACCATCCTTGCGAAATTCAAACTCCTTCCCAGAGACCAACGCCGATTACCTCACGCGCCGCCGCGATCCGTCCGTTGGAGAGCCAATTTTCGAACGATGGAGCAGCCGAAGGCAGAGACAGTGGCTCCGGCCAAGGATCAGAACCCAAACCCGTCGCTGAGCAGCGTTGATCCGAAAGCTTCGGATCAGGGACCCAAGGGAGGCGAGGATGCTAAAACCGAGATAGCCTTATCCGACGAAACCCTATCTCAGGTCGAAATCGAGACGAAAGGGAGCGAGCCAGCACCTGCGCAAGCGCAAGCGCAACCGCCGATTCGAACGTCGTCCGGGTCGAAGAAATCCGTCCATTGGAGCCCCGAATTGGTTTCCGGGTCTCAGGAACCGGATCAGAAGTCGGAGTCGTCTTACCCGGCCGGATCTAACCCGTATATCGCTCGTTCTCCGGCTGAGACGTCGGACGCTTCGTTGAAAGGTAAGAGTGTAAAATGGTGAGATGTGAATGAGGAATGATGAATCCTTTTCTCTGACTCTCGATTGGATCAGATACGATGGAGTCTGTGAAAGGAGCGCTTGGGAGATGGGGAAGGAAGGTTGCTGAAGCTGCGAAGAAGACGGAGAGCCTCGCCGGGAACACGTGGCAGCACCGTGAGTTTCTTGATCTCGTAACCACGTTTGAATTGGATCTTTCTCTGTTTGATGTTTGCACTCAGGTTTGAAATTAGATTAGGTATCAATAATCATCACAATGTTGATTCTTTCGAATTTGGAATCGCAATGTGAACATTATCAAAAGTACACATTATAAAAGATCTGAATTTTTTTGGTGGATTGAGAAATTTTACACAATTTTAATTTACGTTTAAACTGTTTATGTGTGAACTACTATATAACACTTTGTAATTTACTTGTTCGTTTCTCTAGCATGTGTTCTTCATTAAGGATTGATTTGAGTGGTCTCTGTTATAATAATCTTCTGTTTGAAATCAGTGAGAACTTCTCCGAGTTTTGCCGAAGCTGCCATGGGAAGAATCGCACAGAGTACTAAGGTCCTTGCGGAAGGAGGATACGAGAAGATTTTCCGACAAACCTTTGAGACCGTTCCCGAGGAACAGCTGCTAAACTCTTTTGCGTGTTACTTGTCAACATCAGCTGGTCCCGTCATGGGGGTTCTGTACATATCCACAGCCAAACTTGCTTACTGTAGTGACAACCCTCTCTCGTACAAAAATGGTGGTCAAACCGAATGGAGCTATTACAAGGTACCAATGATATAACCTTTGTGATCACTAACTATACGACATCTGTTAGCTGTTAATCTAGTCAATGCTCAAGAACATGATGATTTGGTTGTAGTAACATCAACGAGGAGCTGTCTTATAGTCATAAAGCCACGGACTTTAGATTCAGTGCAACACACTTGCTACGTTGATTATTTTAGACTTTGTGTCTTCTTTTTGTTAGATGCTTTAGACAACGTCTCGTTATGATTTGGTAGTAGCATCATCTTAAGCCATCTGATTCATTTGCAATGAACTTTGCTACGTTGTATCATCTAATTTAACACTCTTGTGTCATTTTTTTGGTAAACAGGTGGTGATACCATTACATCAGCTTAAAGCAGTGAATCCATCAACGAGCATAGTGAATCCGGCGGAGAAGTACATACAGGTGATTTCGGTAGACAATCATGAGTTCTGGTTCATGGGTTTCCTGAACTACGAAGGCGCCGTCGCGTCTCTGCAAGAGTCTTTGCAAGCCGGTGGTTTACGGACTGTGTGATTGAAACACACTAGTCTCTGGGTGGATTCTTTGATTGATGACCATATAAACTTTTCTTTTATAATGAATTCTGAATTATTTTGATCTTGATGAACCCTTTTTTTTTTTCTTCTTCTTTTTTGCTTAGTTAAATTATCATTTCAGAAGTCTTGATTAACATTATTTGCATGAATATAATCTCCAAAAATCCCATTTGCTATAGAAACTATTGAATTTTCTGATCATTTTATTGCAATTCCTCTCTCTGTATCTCCACCTTGTTGTATGAGAAGATTTTGTGCTTCTCTTTACCATCACACACAATCATTAGCTGAGAAAGACCATGACTGTGTCTGTGTGTGGTGCATTCTTATTATAATAGTCAAAATGTACGACCTCCTACCTCCTTTGACTTCTTGAAAAGTGACATTGTTAAGAATCTTAACTATATGGGCTTTTTATGGGCTTTCAGACTATAAATTCTGAATTCTGAATTATTTTGATCTTGATGAACTCATCTTTTTCTGCTTCTTTTTGCTTAGTTAAATTATCATTTCAAAAGACTCTTGATTAACATTATTTGGATGAATATAATCTCTAAATACCCCATTTGCTATAGAAAATTAGAAACTAGCTGAATTTTCTGATCATTTTATTGCAATTCCTACATGGGCTTTTAATGGGCTTTTAGACTTGTTATAATCCTAAGTTTGACTAAAGCGTGTCTCTCGTCGACTAGTTTGGTCTTTACAAAAGCGTATATAAAGAAAATTACAGACAAAACATGGGATCTGTTTTTCTTACTTCTTCGTTACTCTCAAAGGTCAGAAAACAGAAAAGCTCCGAGAATCGCACGGCCAATATCTAAAGCAACGATTTTTTTTTGTAATAATTAAATTCCCTCCAAAAAAAGAAAACACAGTTGACTGAGGAAAAAAACAAAGATTCGATCATCGGAACCTCAGTTTCGTCGCCATGGAAGCTATTTCCCCGGCGATCAGTTCCGGCGTCTCTGTTCCTTACAATAAGAGTTCTGTTCTCACTCAGTCTCATGGACTCAGCTCTTTACTCCTCCGGAAAGCGAGATCTCCGGCGAATCACTCGTCGATTTCTTCTCGCATCTCGTTGGTCAGAGCTTCGGCGATTCAGCACAGCAAAACCTCGGCGTCGATCGATCTCACCGATCCGAATTGGAAATCAAAGTACGAGAGAGATTTCGAGCAGAGATTCAGCATCCCTCACGTCACTGATGTGTTCCCAGATGCAGAAGCAATCCCTTCGACGTTCTGTCTCAAGATGAGGTTAATTTTGATTTGATTCTGCAAAAAAAAAAAAATCAAAATTTCTGGGTCTTTAGAATTTGGAAGGAATCATCTAAATGGGGTTTTGAATTTAGGTCTCCGACGGAAGATTTTGTTGGTGGCTACCCATCTGATGAAGAATGGCATGGATACATCAATAACAATGACAGAGTCCTTCTCAAGGTGATGATTCAGATTGATTTTTACTGAAATTAGTGACTGAGATTTTGATTTTGCGTAATTGGATGTGAATTGGTTTATGGGTACTTTTGAAATTTAGGTTATTAGTTACTCTTCACCAACTTCTGCTGGAGCACAGTGCATTGATCCTGACTGTTCTTGGGTTGAGCAATGGTAAATTTTTGATTTTTTTTGGGGGGGGGTTTGGATTTGTGGTTTTTTCTTTTGTTTTGGTTTATAAATTGTGATTTTGGGATCATCAGGATTCACCGTGCCGGGCCGAGGGAGAAGATTTACTTCAGACCGGAACAAGTGAAAGCTGCGATTATCACTTGTGGTGGGCTTTGTCCTGGTCTCAATGATGTCATCAGACACGTGAGTTTGTGTCTGAAACTTGAGCATTATAGAGACTAGAGAGAGATAGTGTGAGAGTGTGAAATGCTTTTCTTGTTATTAAAAAGTCTTTTGATTGTTGTTTTGGATGCATTGCAGATTGTGATCACTCTTGAGATTTATGGTGTTAAGAACATTGTTGGGATCCCTTTCGGTTATCGAGGCTTCTCTGATAAAGACCTAACCGAAATGCCGGTATAGTTTTGATTGTCCTCTCTTCTCTTTGAACCTATAAAGAACTCTCTTTTTTTCTTTCTTTTCTTCCTCTGTATTAAGTTATCTTCTACTCTTGATCCTCTTTAGTTATCAAGGAAAGTTGTTCAAAACATTCATCTCTCTGGAGGAAGCTTGCTCGGAGTCTCACGTGGAGGACCGAGCGTGAGCGAGATTGTTGACAGCTTGGAGGTATCGATTTGGTTTCCAAAGTCCTTATAAGAAACTCTCTCTCTAAAACTTTCTTGAGATTCACACAGATTCTGACTTTTTACTTAGGAGAGAGGAATCAACATGCTTTTCGTGCTTGGTGGAAACGGAACTCATGCTGGCGCCAACGCTATACACAATGAGGTTTGTTACCTTTTAAACACTTTGAAACTAAATGTGAGTGGAGAGTTTAGTATCATCAACATGATTTTTTTGGCTCTCTTGCTTTCGATTTACAGTGCCGCAAAAGAAAGGTGAAGGTAGCTGTAGTTGGTGTGCCAAAAACCATAGACAATGATATTTTGCATATGGACAAAACGTTTGGGTTTGATACTGCTGTTGAAGAAGCACAACGAGCTATAAACTCTGCCTACATTGAGGTAAATCTTTCATCTATTTAGCTTTCTATGTATATATATATATTCACTTATACTTAATTCATTGCTATGGTATTTGTATTAGGCACATAGTGCTTATCATGGCATCGGCGTTGTGAAACTGATGGGTCGTAACAGTGGTTTCATTGCGATGCAAGCCTCTCTAGCAAGCGGACAAGTCGACATCTGTTTGATCCCTGAGGTACTTCTTTAGTTTTGTTATCATCTTCATGTTGATGAGCTTGCTCTTAAAGATACTATGCATCATCTCCTTCGTTGAAGGTTCCTTTCAATCTCCATGGGCCTCATGGTGTACTGAAGCATCTGAAGTACTTAATCGAAACAAAAGGCTCCGCTGTGATCTGTGTAGCAGAAGGAGCTGGACAGGTAAAAACTCAAATCGCAGTGAAGAAAGCTTCTTTGTCTCCACTTTAAGTTCTCTTTTCAAGAAGTTTTTGTTGCAGAATCTACTCGAGAAGACTAATGCCAAAGATGCATCTGGAAACACAGTGCTTGGTGATTTCGGTGTGCACATTCAACAAGAGGTTAGATACAAAGAGCTATGTTTTGGATTCTTGCTACCTTACGTTTCTTACAATCTATCTTCTTGTTCTTGTTTTGGATTCTTGCTACCTTAAGATTAACTGAGATAGAGAGTTCTGTTTTGGAATCTTGCTACCTTACGCATTTTACAATCTATCTTCTTGTTTTTGTATAGACGAAGAAGTATTTTAAAGAAGTAAGTATACCAATAGATGTGAAGTACATTGATCCAACATACATGATTCGTGCTGTTCGTGCGAATGCATCAGATGGTATCCTCTGCACCGTTCTTGGACAAAACGCAGTAAGTCACACATCTTTCAAGAAATGTTACAATCTTTGAAGTCCATTGCTTTTGTTTAAGCTTTTTGATCTAATAAAAAACACAGGTTCATGGTGCGTTTGCTGGATACAGTGGAATCACAGTAGGCATAATCAACACTCACTACGCGTATTTGCCAATCCCTGAGGTAATCGCATATCCAAAATCAGTCGATCCCAATAGTCGAATGTGGCATCGTTGCTTGACATCAACAGGTCAACCAGATTTCATCTGAAAACAAATTCTTCTTCAATCTTGAAACGTACCAATAAAAATAAGCCTCGAAATGTATATGTACAGCATTCTTGGTTACTTAATTTGATCAAATGTATCAAAATCATATCTTTGTTTAGTTTAGTAAGAAAGTTTTTTTTTTTAATCAAGGCAAGTTAGTTCATAAAAGCATTTATATCAAACTTTGTAGAGTTAATAAAATGTGTTGCATCATCACTGAGGACCATTTTTATTTTTTAATGTAATTGTTCTTTGTCTCTTCCTTCAACGCTCTCTCCTGAATCTCTGTTCACGTATCTTTAGTATTACAATGTGGTCCTTTACTTCTATGATCTATCAGTTTCCACCTGAATTTCTGTAATTGGTCCCTTGTTTGTGTTTTTGCTTCCAATTTTTTTTTTTTTTAAATCTTCATTAATTGAGTTGTGAATGCTATATAACAACCATTGTCACGGTGGCGATTTTCTACATAGTGTAAGTTAAATTTGTTTAATCTACTACCTGAAAATGTAAGTTATATTTGTTTAATTACCACCTCAAATGTGAGTTTATGTATCCAACCAAATAAATCGAGATTAAAGATTGAAAGTAAATGAGTTGTGATATTCTGCATAGTTTAAAAATAAATAATATGAGTTTCATGCATGTTTTAAACATATAACACATTATTTTAGGATTTTATCACCGAATCATTGTTTCTTGCAAATAAACTTCCACTATATATTTAGCAAATTCATTCTAGTTTATCATTGTTTTCCCCCCTAATATTGTGATTTTTTTTGTATTAACTACATTGTAATATTTTTCTACAATGAATATAATTTGGATTTAAATCTTAATATCACATTCTACAATCATCGAAATTCAAATCTGCGTGATATATGTTTATAAAAGCAAAAGAAAACTATCTATGAAAGCAAAAAAAAAAAAAACATATTTATAAAACTGAGTGAGACAAAGGGAGAGAAGCAAGAAAGTGAGGGCCAAAGGGTAAAGAGAAGCTGAAAATCTGTGAAGCCAGTAAGTTTGAAAGGTCCCCAACACTTATCAGTTCCTCAACATGCACTCTCCCCACACTTTTTCACTTTCTTACATTTTGACTCTTGTTCTTTTCTTTTTACCTTTATCCCCATCTTACTTTTTCTCTTTTTCTCTTTTTTTTTTTTGTTGCAAATTTGAAGTTTAAGAATAGTATAATGTGGAAGGCCCTTTGTCCGCAGTTTACTAAACGGTTTATTAATGTTTCTAGATGAGAAAATATGGGTTTCAATTCCTAAAAAACGTGAAATTTTGCAGCTTATTGAAAACCAACAGATAAAGAAATTTTTTTGCAGCTTATTGAAAACCAACAGATAAAGAAAAAACTTTAGAACAGTGTAAATAAAGCTATTCATAGTAGGCCTAAAAATTTGTTGTGAATCTTTGTAGAATAGATAAATTGTCTATCAAAAATTATCTTTATAATTATCTAATATTTTCAAACGATAAAAAAAGAAGAGTATAATAAAATCATTAAATCCCGAATCTTAAATCTGCAAGCGTGGTTGATCAACAGTTGATGAGATTACAGAAGAATAAAATTATACTAAGAATTAATTACTGTTAGGTCTAATTAATGTTCACGAGAACCAAAATCCTTCTTGTTGACATTTACAGATCTAATCTAATCTAGTGGTAAGTTCCTTTTTAATTTTTAAACATGACATAAATTAAAAACAAAAACCTTATGGCTTAAACGTGTAGTATTAAATCTTATCATGTATACAGAAGAAAAAGAAAAAAATACAGAAAGAAAAATGAAAAAAATCAAAGCATAATAACTCATCATTCATGGATTCCATTTCCATAATATAAGCTGACGAAAAATCAATATTAGATAATGATTAGACAAAGTACAGTGTCTTATGTGTGTTTCAGAATATTATACAAAATCCGAAATCACTAAATCGTTAGTTAATTTATAGTAAAAAAAAAAAAGGACAAGGCATGCCGCATGCACCAAACTTACATACTTTTTTTAGGTTAAAGACATCAACTTACATACATTAGAGCTTTTATATATTGACATATAGTTTATAGGTATTACCGAAATATATAAATATTCCGAACACTAAAGTTAAAAAGTTCTGTCTGATATCACGATGTCAAAAACTAGATTCGATTCCGTTATTGGAATTAACCCCCAAAAATGTGCTTACTTGACTGATTCTAATTCAAGATATATTATATGTATTTTAGATGTACTCACTAACACTACAATAGTATCATTTACATTAGAAGCATGTACGTGGAACTATAAATAGCATGTATATAAATTGTATTCATTTGCTTTAATTTTTCTTAGCTACTATAACTTTTTTAAGTAAGTGTTTTGAAATCTGACCTAGTTCAATGGTTTCTAATGAGGTGGTTTGATCTAAAATAAAAGAATAGTAAAATAATGTTACAACTTTTTTTTTAAAACACTTTTAGATAATATGTATAGGTCCACAAACTTCAACTATTTCCTTAGATCATTGTTCAGGCCATTTTAAAATTAAGAAATGACATATTTAAATATAATAGTACATTTTTAACTTTATCTTTATCAATGAGAACAATTGCAAATTATTGATCCATTGACCCACCGAGACCAATTTCAAAAAGCATTATTATTAGTTTGTAATCTCTAAATTGGTGTAAGTTTTGATGCATGATGCTTATAGTCCTTTTACAATAATTCTAACACGAAAGAAAATACTTATAGACTAATTATAGTCCTCTTTCATTAGCTAGTCAGAGGATGCTTGATGCTTCTCCGTTTATTGCATGGGTAAAAGATGATTGATATATTCTCCTCGATTTTCTTTTTATTAAGTGTATACAAAGAGAGCCCAGTAAAGCGATTCCAAAAATATGGATCTGTATTTTATTTATGAAATTTTGGGATATGGGTAGTTTTAATTGCTTTTGTATTATCCTTATCAAATGCAGCTCTCTGCCATCAAGCACATGACCACTTAGTTGCTGCTGCGATATGCCTTTCCTCTCAAAATCTTCAAAAACCCCAAGAGCCAAATCCGAATACTCACATACGCACTTCTGAGTACATATTCATTAATATTTTAGGATTGTCTCTTTAAAAAAATATCTACTAAACTTTAGGTTTGTTTACATATAAATTATTATATTACATGTTTTGGCTAACATAATTTAGAAATGTTGCTATAGATAAGAAAAAAATAGGCACATTTATGTAAATATATACTGCAATACAAATGACTATACAATGGAAGAATTTGAATTATACATCTCAAAACTGAACTAAATGTAGATAAGTATTAATAAGAAGTTATGAATATAGAAAACCCTAGAGTTATTGTTCATGTACTATCCATAGATATATGATCATATAAATATGTTGTCGCCAATTATAGAGTGTGTCTATTAATACTCTCTTCAACAGAATCATGCATTGGGAGGACAATCTCATAAACATTTTTTTTTGTGTGGAAATTAAATCAACCAACTATTATTATATACATAGATTTGATCAAACCAGCTTGAAGTCTATGTTATAATTTAACAACGAAGAAGTGATAATGTTTAATGGAGTAGCATTTTAATTGTCTATCGTCTCATTGTTTGATCACATTTGTCTTTTCTTGACTATTGAAACATAATGTTCATACAAAAACAATTAGCTAAAAGGAGCAACTAGAATTATGATTAAATCATAAAACTAACAAACCTAATCAATTAAAAATGTCTGTAAAGAAAATAAACTAATTAACCTTTCTAATACAGTACTATAATAGGCTTAATAGCAACAAAGTTGTCATAATGGAAGTAAGTGAAGAAATTAAATTTTACACACAAACATGCATGTATATACTTTGAAACCCCCAAGAAGATGCTCATCTCGTTTTACACCCATGCATCTCGATCTAAGTTCATATGTTAATCAAAACCAAATCACATTTATTTTTCTTTGTTAAAATCACACTATTCTGATAACTAGTTGAAATAAACCCGAATCCCTAATTAAATTAAATCATCGAAAATTATGTGTTGCTTATTAGAATCTACTCGTACACACATTCGTTGTATATGTACTACTCAAGTATATTTTGGAAGATGTACGTAATGGGTGATCATCACGTTAAACTATAGTATAATATTAAGCTGCAAGGGGTTATATAAATATATAAATTAATTAGCGAATATGTATAATACTCATGTGAAAAAGGAAACATAAAAAGTATAATAAAGAAACAGAAGAGAAGCAGTAGATTCCCAAGGTTTCTTATGCTCAGAGATTATTATTCTGAGTTTTTCTGAACACGAGGGGAGAGAGAAAGAAGAGAGATGTTGACCGGTCGCATAGTCAAAACAAAAAGAAGTGGGCCCTCTAATACCTCTTTTCAGGGCCCATTATGGCTTTCCCCTCTCCAATCCCCAAAACATGCAATTCTCCTTCCAACCAATTATATTATTTCTTCAAACCAGGAAGATAAAAACATTTTTTAAAAATTAATATTTCACTTTTGTTGGTTCAAGTGGCATTTTTTGTTAATACATACTGTATTAATTAATCTATATTGCATTTATAACTTTTACATATCTTAACAGATCAAAAAGTGATTGTTATTATTACAAAGAAATATTATTAATTATGTATATATAGAAATTACACAAACTATCAACAATATCAATTACTTCTAGAAGATGTTTTAGAGTTTATTTTTTATTTTAAAATATATAATGTTTTAAATTTCTATGTAAAAATTAATTGTAGTTTTGTTATTTTGACTGTTTGAATTCTGAATCCTATTTATTGGTTGAACTGTTTTAGAAATAATAAAAAATGTTTTATTTTAAAAAAAGAAAATTAAATAATTTTTTAATCTATGTGTAGATCTCTAAAAAAAAAACAAAGAAAGTATTTATAACAAAAATAATCATCAATTATAATAAACAAAAAATAATATTGCTAGATCACTAACAAGTTCAAGTAATCAAATGGATTCCCTGAGTACAATTACTAAATCACTTACCCGTTTATAAGTTTTCCATTTATAAATGCATTACCATGATAGTAAATTATTTAATATTATAATTAGCTCAAATTTTATTTTAAATAAGATGGTAGACAAGATTTTGTAGTTGTGAAAAAAACCTAAATTTAGGGTCACCTTTAAATACCAAAAAAAAATACCATAAAAGTTTAGATTCTCTGTCTATTTCTTATTATTTCTCGTAGTATCTCTGATTCATGTAAACAAAAAGTCCCTTGGAGCAAAGAACATGAACCTCTCTAGGGGATGTCTCTCATCATCTTCAATAATAACTTATTAATTTTGCCGCCTTTTATTTTTCTTTTTCTCTCTCCCAAAAACTCTCATTTTCAATCCAATTCTCAGACTGAAGATGAGAAATTAAAGAGAGAAAAAGAAAACTTTATGTGAAAAAAAAGGAATAAACCAAAAATAAATGGGGAGAACCTCAAATGTTCATGACCCTTAATGGATTGGAGTTGGAGAAGAAGCAATGTATGACTCTTTCCTCTCTCTCTCTCTCTTTATCTCTCTCTCTCATTGCTTTCTCCTCCTCTTGTTGCTATTGTAGTTACTGCTGTTGTTGTCTGGACTACTACTCTGTGAGGAATTTGTACATGACTCAACCGCTCTCTCTTCACTCTTATAGCTCAAACATGTTGCTTCCAACACTCCCACTGGACTCTCCGGTACAGCTCTTGCCGCTAACCGCGGCTGCTGCTGCGGCGATAGTCCACTTCCCGGCACATTCTCCTCCGCGAGGCTTCTCATCAGACTCAAACATCTCTTCACTCTCTCCTGCTAAAGAAAAAGGACAATGATCCCAACGCTTGATGAAAATGTGTGTTTCTTGAAACAGTAACAGTATACATCTCTCTAATAAGCTTTCATAACCAAAATGTTAATATCTCAGAAGCTTACAAAGTTTGCTTCTTTGCAAATTGCAACCACCCTTGAAGCTAAAACATTAGATGGGTTTTACTTTTACCTGATTAACATTTGTGAGATGAGACAATGCCTTTTCGTCATCAATGCACTTAATTTCTCCTGAAACGGAAACAGACACTGCCGCTGCTGCAGCTATCTCAGAAGGCCTCAACTCTAAGAATTCAATTGCTGCATTCAATATTTTTTTCAAAACAGGTCAAGTCAAGCCCTTACCTCTACACAGTTTGCAAACAAGGAAAAGAGCATTATATAGGGCTTTGTGACGACGAACCTTTAGTGGTGTTCAAGATGAACTGTGACGATCTGTAGATCGAATTCTCTGACACGTGACCGTTGATCTTGTAAATGAAATAATCAATGAAGGAGAATGGAGTTAGAGCTTGCAACCTCCAATTCAATGTGTTGAGTACCAAAAGTTCCATCCTTTTAATCGTTTTGGCCTCAAAAACAAACTTGGGATCTCCCACCTGCTCATCATCATCAAGAACTTAAGTTACACACTCAACAACAAAACCGATTGTTCTCAAGAGGACTAGAGAATGTGTGTTGAACCTGTAAATCAACAGTTTGAGGAACATCTGATTCTTCCATTTTGGCTGCTAATGATAAGCAAGAGACAGCTAGCAACTGAACAGCCCAAGCCTTGTCTTTCTACGCAAACGAAACACACACACAGACACGATCATCATTGGTTGTCTCTGGAGAAACGTTATAACAAGAAGAAGATGATGATGAATCAAACTTACTGGCAATTGATAGGAAGTTAAGAACCGATCCAAGTAGTTCATGGATAGACATATGCACAGAGGTCCAAAATTGTAGTGAGCACAAACCTGTTTCAGACAAAACAAACATTTTGGCATTAAAGACAAAACCCCCATCAATTACTACTCAAACAGAACCAAATCTCAATCTATTGAGAGAAGATCCAACTGATCTCAAAAGTGTGGTTTTTTTTCCGTTTTCAATACATCTGAGGATTAATAGTAATAATAACAATCAAAAGCTTCTTTTAAACCCCAATGATCTATCAACTGATCAGAGAAAGAAACTCTAAAATCAAACCAGATTTGAGTAATTTTTGAGATAGATCAAAAAGAGAAGAAATCTCAAACCTTTAGAATCCAATCCAGAGCTTGGTTCCTGACACGAAACTCCAAATCCCCAGAACGCAACCTCTTGAGGTAATCAGCTCCGGGGGAAAACTCGGCCTCCCTCTCCAGCATCTCTCCGATTCTGTCTTCTCTCAGCGACGATGGAGGAGAACCCATCGCCGGAATTGATCCGTTGCCGTGAAAGTTATCGTCTTTGGTAAAAAGATCATGGCTATAATCGGACTCGTTCATAAACCCGCCGCCACAGTTGATTTCATCGTCGTCGTCAATGATCCATGAATCGCTGGTTTCTCCACAAGCGAGATTCTCCGCCATGGATTCGTGTGTGTGTGTGTTAATAGTCTCTTTTTATCGTTTATTATTGGGGAGAGGTGTCTCAAAAAAGTTTCAGAGCGTTCGGACAAGAAATTGAAAACTCAGGAAGCAAAAGTCATAAAGATGGGAGATTTCAGAGGAGTTTATTATTATGTTTCCATGAACTGCGATTTTCATGGCAGGAGAGAGAGAGAGAAGAAGAAGAAGGAGAGAGAGAGAGAGAGAGAGAGAGAGAGAGAGAGAGGTTTATACAGGGGAAGTGGGTGAGTGTGTTTTAGGGTAGAGAGGGGAGAGTCGACTCCATAGAGTCGAAATAAGGGATACAGAGAATATACAATTAAGAGAAATTTGGAAAATAAAATAGTAACAAAATCATAATGTATTCAATATTATTTATATGTAAAGAAAATACAATAATGTTTTAGGCTTTTTACGATTCTATGGATGAATTTACTTAACAACAACATGTGCACCTTAACTTAAGCAAATCAGTTTGTGTCATGGTTAAATTACATACTTATTTTTGCCAATTAGGTTTTAATTCAGTGAAACTTTTTTTTAAAAAAATGTAGATATCCAAACTTTACAAACATCAAAAATAATTAAAATTACTTAATAATAGTTCCTACTTATTTTGCCATTAAATTCGTGAAAATAGTGAAATAATTTGACATAGATGATAATAATGCAAAATTTGGTGATAAAATCCAACATTACAAATTTACAATAATTTTAAAATCTAAAGTTGTGTATTCACATCTCTTGACTAATAAAACTATAATGACAGTCAATTCTTTAAGAATTTAATTAAAGTCAGAGTAAAATGATTAATTTATCTTTTTATACCATAATAATGAATTCAAAGATTGAAACATAGAAATCTACATATTTATTTTTAGTCAAATAAATTCATTTAAATTCTACAAGACTCAAACTCTATAAATAGAAGGAGATCATTTGAAGATACACTATCAACAAAAATCATAAAGAATCAAAAATGTACTAACATAGAAGAAAAAATTTAGTAAAAAAGAAAAAAACATAGAAGAAAAATCTATACAACGGTGATGTGCTTGACCTTTTTACCCCCCTTCACTACAAAATCGATGACTTTACCCTTTCGGTAAGAATCACACTTATTCCAAATAACCCGTGAGGACAATATATATTTGATATGGGGTTTATATAATAAAACACAAAAGAAGGCCAAATTTTTTAAATTATTTGTTTTTCTTTCTGGCACATTGTAGTAACTAGTACATTATACTATATGGTTTGAAAATTGTAAGTATTTCTATATTGGGCGTAAGCCTTTGGACTTTTATGATCCAAGTATATACTATGGATTTATTTGCAATGATGATTACAGTAATTGCCAAAATTAATTTTATAGCTGGCTTGACTCACACATTCTACTTACATTTCCCCTCTATAAGATTTAATCCAATGACAGCCCAAGAATCATCTGGGCTTTAAGAATCCCATAAGTAAGTAGCCAAAAGCCCATTAGCTAAAACCCTAATGTCTTCTTCTTCCTCTCTATAAATGATTTAATCTCATAGAAAGAGAATCTTCTCAACTAGTTCCGGCGTGAATTGTGAAACCTTACTTTGCTCTGTGCTTCTTGCTTTTATTGATTTCGTATTCTTGGTCTGAAACTAATATAAAGGGAATCTTAAGATGTATCAGATGCTGTCTCTTCTTGTTAAATTGCTACTGGTTAGTGCTTATTTTCTTGAGTTGTGTTAATTATCGAAGATTTTTTTTTGGTATGATAATTTTTCAGTTAGGGTTGCAATGATGAGATCTTTATGATTAAATTGAAAGTGTTTACGCTTAATGAACGGTCGACAAAAAGTCGAACCTGAGCGGTTAGCTGAGCAACCATCTTTTGTTTGTATTGTTTTCTCAGTAATTAGCGAATTTTGTTATTAATTATTTTGTTAATTGCTTATTTCGGTTTTTAATGCTGTTGCCATGATGAACAAAATATTATTTCGAAAGCATTTTTTTGTGCTTAATGAATCAGCGACTATAATTGTCGGCCTGAGCGGTTAACTGAGCAACTAAATTTTTCACAAAAAACTTTACTCTTTTTTTTGTTTTATTTTGTTTACAATTTTGTCTCATTGAGTCATTGTTTAACAATTTCCTAGTCTGTTAAGGATACTACTTTGATTTTTTATGCATTTTCGTTTGATCTTGATCATATTTGTAGTTTTCAAAATTAGAATTTGGCAACCTTAGTTTATTTAGGTTGATTGCTGTTGTTGGTTCCATATTAATAAAGGGATTGAAGTAATCTTAATGCTTAGAGACGAAATTTGTAGAAGGCCCAAAACAATCCATAGAAGCCTTTCATGCGTTAATGGGCCTGTTGCTCTGTTTGAGCCCACAGACTTTTATAAGTCACTGGTTTGATTCTTTACTACATAAGTTCTTCGTAACTAGACAAAGAAGATTACGTATTAAACTACTAAATCTTGTGTAGTAAACAGAGAAAGTTCAGCGATAGAACTCGCAGCAGTTTTGAAAGAATCTATTTTCTTGTCCGAAAGAAGAGAACAAACCAAATCAACGCAACGAATGATGATGGGATCTGATTCTGATGACTTGAAAGTGATGTTTGTTTGTATAACAGTTAACGTGTGGGAACTGTGTTGTTGTTGACGCGGTTTTGTAACAAATGAATAGATTCGACATCAAAATGTATGTGTAAAAGTAAAGCATTAGAAAAAACACGTGGAAAGATTCCACCGGTTCTTGATTTTTTTTTTTTTTTTTTTTTATATAGAGTTTTTATAAAGTTGTAATGTTGACGTTTCTGAAGATTTCCTTGTCTACAACTTGATGAAAGATCAATTATTGAATATACTTAATAGGAATAGTTCTTCAAAATTAACTTATAGAATTGATTGAACATATTGAAAATAGTTGTTAAATCAATCACTGATAATGTCGTTATATCATTATTATTACAACTAGCAAGTAAAAACTAGACTTTTATTTTTGTTTGTTTGTAAAGACTTTCATTTTTTAATAATTATCAAAAACAATGTCATAAGAAAACAAAATGTCGTATTAACCATTCAGTAAGTAAATTTTCAATATCTTGACTTGAGGATTTCAAATGGTAAAAAGTTGGCTGAAAAACTTTTTTCAACCTACCCCTTAAAATTAGGCAACCTAGTTATTGATTTCTCATACATTAATTAGGAGTAATAAGTTTCACAAGATTTTCAATCTTCATCAAGATTCATCTTTGAATACTAAAAGATTTTCTGAAAAAGAATATTAACTTCAAAGCTAACATAAATGAATCTACCAAATATTTGACGGGAGTAAATCCCCCATTGAAATAGAATCAAAAAAATTGTTTCACAGCAAATTTTGTAACAATAAATAGAAGATCTATTCAATATAATTGAAAAACAATTAAAAACTTTTAAACTTAATAAACTAGTCGATTAATCAAAAGAAAACAAGAACAACAAAAGAAAAAAAGAAACAAACTTATTTTGTTTTTAGCCAATTAATCGCCACCATCATATTTTTTCTTCAAAAGTCAAAGTCCTTAAGCAACTTTTTAACTTGTTCAAGCGTTACAAACAGAATCACCGTGAACGGTGCTTGTCTCGAAACCGTCGGCACAAATCCTTTGTACAGAGCAAAGATTCCTTCCGCCTTCACCGTCTTCAACGCACAATCCAACGCTCCTTTATACGGCGGCGTTTTCCCCGCCACCACCTTCATATTCATCACTCTCGTCTTAATCACATCAACCGGATTCGACGCAACGGACGCCACAAACCCCGCCGCGAAACTCGACGCCACGTGAGTCACAAGCCCGTCTTTCATCAACCCTTTCTCCAAAATCGTCTCTTTCACCGAATCGTAAGTCGCTAACTGCGACGCCGTCACGAGCATCGCTCTGTTTACCGTCATGGACGATCCTCTCCACAGAGACGTAACGCCTTCGCCGCGAACCATTTGCCCGATCGCGTCCAAAACGCTTTTGTAGTTTCTCCGATCGACTAAAGGCAGACGACCGTCGGCTTGCATTCGCACCATCGCTACATCCGCCGGGTTTCCCACGGCGGCTCCGATTCCTCCGGCGATGAATCCGGCGGCGAGTTTTCGGGTTAAAGGTATCGATTTGGTTTCCGGGTCGGTCCACTTCGTTTTCAGAATGTCGTATAAACCCATACGAGTCGTCGAGTAGAGAGTTTGACGGAGAACGGTGGCGGAAACGCCGGAGAACAGAGCACGCGTGCCTTCTTTTCTGATGATGCGAGATCCGACGCCGATTATACCCACGCTAGGAGGAGGTGGCGCGTGGACGGCGGCAGCGGCGGAGGAATTCTGGAAAGCGAGCGCCGGTCGGAGATTTGTCGGAATTGAGGCTGATTCGCCTTGGAGCTGCATTCGGACCTTGATTAGATCAAGCGGGTGGGTCGAACAACCCGCTACGATTGATGCGACTCCTCCTTCAGCGAAACCCTTGAGACCCATTTCTTGTTTTTTTTTTTCAAATCGGAAAAAAAAAAATCAAAAATTTGGAAAGATCTCTGCTTTGGGTTTTCCGGGAATATCTGAGAGAGAGAGAGAGAGAGAGAGAGAGAGAGAGAGAGAGAGAGAGAATTTTAAAAAGGTTGGCTTTTTATTTTTGGGTTTTTTGATATCTTAAAGAGACCAATTGGAATTAGAGCTAATCTCACTGGAGATTAAAAGATGAGAATGGAGACCGAAAGCTATAGAAGAAGAATGTGGAACTTGAGGTCTTTGAGACATATGCTGTTCAGACAGTGTTTTTTTAGGTTTCGTGGTATTAATGTCTTTTAGAGAGAGAGAAGTGGTGAGAGATGATTTTGAGGTTGAAGACGATGAGAGAAGAAAGTGTTTAAATAAGGAAGGAAAAGGAAACGCGGAGACTTGTTTGCTATTTTGCGCCGGTTTCCTTTAACATTTTGGTAGTATCTTGAGACTTTCCTAAATTTTTTGAAATATTTAATTATAAATCTTTTTTTTACGAACTAAGTGGAAACTCGCTTTTAAAATATCAAATGAAAATATTTCTCTGGGTCAAAAGTGTTAAAAAGACCAAAAGCCCCCCTATTTATTATTGCACCTCACACTCTCACACGAAGAAAAACAAACTTTTTCACTAGAATAGTAAAAAGTCTATTGAATCGCTAAATCCATGTTCACACAAACACGGATTCATACAAAAAAATTAGGAGAATATTATTTAGTATACATGGATTTTTTTCTGTTTATCTTAATATCAAAATTTTATGAAATAATAAATTTATTAATAAGTATATTATTGACACATAACATATATACAT